TGATCCCTTCTCTCTCTCTGAACTTCGTTCTGCCCTGGCCCTCTGCAGTTCTACGGCGGCGGGCTCCGATGGTATTCATTATGAGATGCTTCGCCATCTCCCTCCGAGCACGTCTCAGTATTTACTGAGTCTGTATAATCGGATCTGGGAGTCGTCGTCAGTCCCTGAGGACTGGCTCGATGCCGTTGTCCTCCCTGTTCGCAAACTGGGGTCTCTGGGTACTTCCCCTAAGGACTTTCGCCCTATTGCTCTCACAAGTTGTGTCTGCAAACTCTTTGAACGTATGGTTAACGTTCGTCTGATGTGGTTCCTGGAACACCATCACCTCCTCTCCCCTTCTCAATTTGGTTTCCGCAAGTGCCGCAGCACGACAGATGTCCTGGTGAACTTGGAGGTCTATATTCGTACTGCTTTTGCTGCGAAGACCTCCGTTGTTGCCGTCCTTTTTGACCTGGAAAAGGCTTACGACACCACTTGGCGTTATCATATCCTATCTCAACTTCATTCTTTTGGCCTTCGTGGTCATCTCCCTCTCTTTCTCCGCAGCTTCCTCTCTCGTCGTTCCTTTCGGGTGCGCCTTGGTACCGCTCTCTCTCCCTCTTTTCAGCAATACGAAGGTGTGCCCCAGGGTATGTTCTGAGCACTACTCTTTTTCTGGTTGCCCTCAATGGTCTTCTTTCCTATCTTCCTTCTGGTGTCTTCTCCGCTCTCTATGTCAATGATCTTACCCTTTGTTGTCAGGGTGATGATTCGCCTCTCCTTCGACGCCGGCTTCAACTTGCAATTGATGCCGTGTCGTCTTGGGCCACAGATCATGGCTTCAAGTTTTCTACTTCTAAGACTTGTGCCATGACTTTTACGCGGAAACTGGTTGTTCTTCGTCCCTCTTTGTCACTTTATGGTCATCCCCTTGAATACAAAGATTCCGCGAAGCTTTTGGGGTTATTCCTTGACACTCGTTTGTCTTGGTCTCCCCATATCTCTTACCTCCGTGTTGAGTGCTCTAAGGCCCTTACCCTCCTTCGGGTCTTGTCCCATACTTCTTGGGGGGCAGATAGGCGCACTCTCCTTGCTTAACATTCCTCTCTCGTCCTGTCTAAGCTCGATTATGGTTGCCCTGCTTACTCGTCTGCTTCTCCTTCTACTCTTCGCCGTCTTGATGCTTTGCACCATACTGGGTTGCGCCTCAGTTCTGGTGCCTTTCGTTCGACTCCCATCCTTAGCTTGTATGTTGACACTGGCTTCCTGTCTCTCCAGGACCGCCGTGATCGCTACTGTCTTCGCTATCTTGCGGGGTCCTTGCAACATCCTTCCTCTCGCCTCTGTCGTGCTTTAACTTTTACCCCTCCTGCGGTTCCTGTTCCTCTTCACCACCTCCCTCTTTCTGTCCGGTTATCTCGCCTACAGGATTCTCTTTCCATTCATATTTCTGATGTTTCTCCTAGTGTTGTTCCTTCTTTGCCCCCGTGGAGGGTCCCTCTTCCGCGGTTTTGTACATCCTTGACCCGTATCTCTAAAGCTTTTACCCCTCCTACGGTTCTGAAACGCCTTTTCCTCGAGCACTTTTCTTCTCACTCCCGCTCCGTTTCTGTCTTCACCGATGGGTCTAAGTCAGTGGACGGTGTTGGCTACTCTGTTATTTTTCCTGATCGCACTTATATGTGTCGCTTGCCTCCGGAGACTAGCATCTTTACAGCGGAACTCTATGCTATTCTCTATGCTCTTCGTCTCCTGCTTTCTCGTTGTCAGTCTTCCTTTGTAGTTGTTGTTGACTCTCGTAGTGCCCTCATGGCTCTCGGGTCCTTTAATCCGGTTCATCCAGTAGTTGTCGAGATCCAGCATTGGCTGTTTCTCATTCACAGTAAATTTAAGTCGGTCGAGTTTTGTTGGGTTCCCAGCCATATTGGTGTGTCTTTAAATGAGCGTGCGGATGCTGCCGCCAAGGAAGCTGTCCGCTCTTGTCCCATCTCTCGTAAAGGCATTCCGTATTCCGACTTTTACCCGGTTATCCATTCCTCAGTCCTTACCCGTTGGCAGGCTTCTTGGTTGTCTGTTACTGGTAACAAGCTACGTACTCTTAAATGTTGTGTTTCCTCGTGGCCGTCCTCCTTCCACCGTAACCGGAGGTGGGAAACACCTCTGGCGAGGTTGCGTATTGGCCATACTCGCTTAACCCATGGTCACTTGGAGCGCCGCCCTGCCCCTTATTGTCCTAGTTGCATTGTCCCTCTTACAGTCGTGCATGTCCTTCTTGAATGTCCTGACTTCCAGGATGAGCGTGTGTCTTGCTTTCCGACCGCCCCTCGCGGTCACCTCTCCCTCGATAGAATTCTTGGTGACTCGGATACTTTTGATATCATTCGCCTTATGCGTTTTTGTTCTCGTATTGGCATCCTTGGTGATATTTAGCGCCCTCTGATTATTTTGCGTATTTGATGGTGCTACATAGCCTTCCCGGTTTGGTGCCTTCTTTTGATAATTACTTACTTACTTACACCTCTTTCTGGGGAGGAACGTCGATGGCAACCTGTTGCTAGTCACTGTTGTCAGCTCCATGCCTATCAAGTCACACCAGGCCCTTGTGAGGAAATAAAAGTCTGCCAGCGACCAAATGCCATAACTTAGCCTCAAAGAGGCACACAGAGTAGGGGATCTAAGATCACCCTCAGCAAGGAGCAACTACCAAAAAGATAGAGATCAATTCAGACAGCAGCAAGGCAAATGAAAATAAATCGGGAAATGATCCACTCAGAAGTTAGGTCGTTTTTCCCACTTGTAGCAGATGTAACATCAATCACTTTCAACCAACACCCAGGTTGACTTCCCTAGTTGCTCACTGATGTTACCCCTGCCCTAAGTAATGCAAGGATTTATGATTCCTCTGAAAGGCTGAGGGTTGGGGGTATACAAGGAGAGGGTTTCAAGAGATGTTCTACTCCCCAAGCCCAGCCTTGGGGACAGTTGGGGTTCATTTCTTTGGTGGTACACCGGGGTGTGTGCTTGTTTATATGGCATGCCACTGATGCCATTGCAGCCCCATGGTTTTCTAAGATGCATTCAGTGTTAGTTACTATCAGTGAGTGGCCCCCTGTGCCTGGGATCTCTGATTGATCTTTACCTTCAGGTCCTAGAGAGCCCCCACCATCTTTCCAGTGTTACAGTATAAGCTGACCCACAGTGTCTGTATTGGCTGGTTGCGAGTTTGACGGATGTCCATCAGTATTGTTACATGCCAGTGATTATTCTTACTGCCATTGCCATGTCACCTGTTGGGTACCCTACTTTCCACCCAGAGGCTTGTAATGTTTTTCATCATCAGCTTTCCATTCTGGCTAAGCCCTTGTCCAGGAACAATGCTTATCAGACAGCTGCCACTTTATGGGAATGTTTTTCTGCATTAACAAATCCACAATGGCCGTGATGAGGGTTCGAACCTATGTCCGGGATGATCCCAGACGTGCCTGAGTCACAGGTGCTTCAGAGAAGCTGCGGGATCCTCGTGAGGGCAAGTAGCACTCCAGCTTGCAATTCTTTTAACCGTGTTGTGACGCAGTCGACTAAGGCGTGTCTGGGATTTCTGTGTTTTTTTTGCAACTTGATGCCTTCATGTATGCTCCAGAGTTGGCCTGTATGGTGATTAGGAGGTCTGAGATGGAATGGCTCGTGGTCTGCACCTATTCCAAGTTTGCCTCTCCTCTTTCCCTCAGCAATTCTGGCATATTGTGCCATTCTTCTTGTCTTACCCTCTTTGTTTTGCTTTTGAAGATGCTACCTTCAAAGCATCTGAAAATTTTATGACCTGGGGAGGATAGCAAAGCCTTAGCTACAACCAAAGGTTTTATGACCTTTGGTTGTAGCCGAGGCTTCTCTGGGAATTGCCCCTTCTATGTTGATTGCAGGGGTAGTTGTACTGATGTTTCCCACTGTGGGATTCTTTTTCTTGGGGATGATTTAGCTGTGGATCCTTCTTATGGGGGAACTACCTTTGTCTCCTCAGGATTTAGGTGTGACCATTGCTCTGCCATAGGGTCTTCATTTGGGGCTCCCGAGACCGGGGAGGGGCCTGAGGAGGATCTGTGGGTGCCTTTCAACTCGTCTTGGTGTTTGGCTTCAATCGATGTTTACAATAGATTCCTTGGCTGCAACTTCCCTTGTACGTTTCTGGGACCTGTTCAAGTCCTCTGATGTGTCTTATTTCTGGAGGTTTCTGTCGTCCTGTCTTTTGCCCTCGTCAACATTAGCAAATTTGTTTCAGTTCCTCCTTTGGGATCAGGACCTCACTTCCTCAATAGACCCTGCCTCTTTTGAATTCAGGTCAGCTTTAGCCTTTTGGTTGAATTTTGACATTCCATATTCAGTGTGGCTTATTGGCAATCCTTTACTTTCTTGCAGAGCCGGTCGGCCGAGTGGACAGCACGCTGGACTTGTGATCCTATGGTCCCGGGTTCAATCCCGGGCGCCGGCGAGAAACAATGGGCAGAGTTTCTTTCACCCTATGCCCCTGTTACCTAGCAGTAAATAGGTACCTGGGTGTTAGACAGCTGTCACGGGCTGTTTCCTGGGGGTGGAGGCCTGGTCGAGGGCCGGGCCGCGGGGGACACTAAAAGCCCCGAAATCATTTCAAGATAACCTCAAGATTGCAGGGTTAGCATGGTTTTTGCCATTCACAAATGATTGATTGGTGTGAGTTTGTTTGGTTTTCCAAGTGTTCTTGGGTAGTGCCATGTTTGCATCACTTGAGGTGTGCCCCTTTGCTCCAAGCTTGCCCCATGATGTTGGTATGTGGTAACTCCATGTAAGTTTGCCTTTGCTTTATGGCGCCCTGGTCACGGAGGGTCACAGGGCTCCTCTGCACTTGGTCACTGTTATGCACATCTGGGCTGTGATTGAGCTATTCTTGGATCAGCTCTGGATACCTGTTTAATATCCTTCACTTATCTGTTAATTGTGCACTAAAATTTATTAAATAATATTGACAATTTTCTCTATTCTTTTTTCAGACTGACCTTGCCAACAATGAAGATATTGAACCAGTCTCTTCCTCTGCCAAACTACATCCTGATGGTGGGGAGGTGACCCATTTGTGATGCGAGTTGATGTTGAGAGCTCCGGGCATATTGTAGATAAACTTTTATTTAAAAGGTGATAAAGCTCAAGGTGTACAAAGTTACAATAGTGTGGGATTAATCTTGATACAAATGGCAAAAACCAGGCCATGTAAACCCTTCTGCTGTGACAGACATGCAGGGATGTTTTCTCAAATTCTGGTTACTATGTGGTGACCATCCCTGGATGTTAGGCTATGTGAGAAACTGGGATGCATTTTACTAAATGTAAAGTATCACCTCTGACCACCAGAGGTCTCTGGAGATAGTGGCCATGTTATAACAAATTAAGCTTTCATTGCCTACAGGGGCAATGTGTGTACAAACACTGTGTGGAGAGAATATTTCTGCTTATGCATTATCACACAACCCCAGCACCACCTCAGCCAGAATATCATGGATAATTAAACAATATTAGCAGTTTTTTTTTAATTGTGTGTTGACAATATTCTATTGAATGAATTTGTGAAAATAGTAGACAATGTAAAGACTCAGAATGGCAATAAATGTTCGTCCTAGAGATGGCACAGTTCTCCTGTGACACCGCTGGTTGTTTAGTGTAGGGTTCGTGGGCTGTCAGTTAGCCACACGGGTCCTGAGGCTTCTCGTCTAAGTGCCAGCCATTTGCTTGGTATTCTATATTTTAGCTTTACAGGCATTTTTTCTGTTTGGTTTGTGTTGTGTGGGCCCAGCTTGTAGGTGCATGTGCTTAGGGCTACCTTCTGTGTGCTCTCTAGCACTCTTGCACTGACAGAGTTCACTTCTGATGTGTTCAGGAGTTCACTCTTTGGAGGCAAGGCCAAGGAGGGGGCCTTTGCCCCCCCCCCCCCTCATCTAGACCCTTGGTTGGGGTGAGCATTTTGGCTAGTTAGGGTGCACTGGGGGATTGTGCACTTGTTTTACACAGCATGCCACAGTTAGCCTTCACAGCCATGTTAACTAGGCTGTGTTGGTTTACTTGCATAATTCCTGGTGAGCATCCCAGTGCTTTGTTGTCCTACTTAGTCCTTCAGGTAATCCCAGTGGGTTTCAGTATGGCCTGTGGATATCCCCTTTGCAATCACTCTTGCCTTATTCGAGTTTGAGGATTGTTTGACATCCATGCTACAATGTGATGATCATTCTTTCTGCCTCCACCATGCTGCCTGTTGGGTTGGTAACACCTGTGGACCCTCAGTCCTGTGGGGTTTGGCCCCCCCCCCCCCCCCCCCCCCCACTCACCTGCCCCAATGTGGCTCTTCCCTCTGACTCTCCGAACGAAGCACAAACTTATCAGGCAGCTGCCACCTTGTGTGTTAGTTTTGCTAGCATCCAGCATTCACGACTTTATATCTGATTGGATACTCTGGAGTTGGTCCAATCTTGTTTTTAGGAACCCAGAATTTGAGATGTTGGTGAATTCCAACTTGGTTCCATCCATGCCTGACAGCTGAGTGGATGAGTTTTGGATTCGTAATCCTGAGGTTCCGGGTTCGATCCTCGGTGTAGGCGGAGACAAATGGGCAAAATGTTTCTTCACCCTGATACCCCTGTTACCTAGCAGTAAATAGGTACCTGGGAGTTAGACAGCTGCTACGGGGCTGCTTCCTGGGGATGTGTAACGAAAAGGAGGACCGGGCCGCAGGGACGCTTAGCCCTGAAATCATCTCAAGACAACCTCAAGAAGAAGAGCCTTCTCCTTTGGCTGTGGCACACCCAGCTTCTGTTCCTATTTCCTGCTTATGGCTCTGAAACTTTTAGGGATTCGGAGGCAGGTCAAGGTTTAGCTTAGGGTGTGGCTTGGATTTCTCCAGGAGTGGCTGCTTCCAGCTGACCCCTTCTTTCAAGATACCTCCTTTGGATTCTGCTTTTCTGTCCCAAGCAGTGGGCTTGGGACTGGCCAAGCGCTTCTTTGCCCCTGAGCTGATGTATTCGGCTTCTTTGGGGGGGTGAATCTCCAATAGGGGTTCCTGGGTTCCCTTAGACCAACTCGGCCCTTCTGCTTCAAGGGGAGGGGGTTTTCTCACCCTCACTCATGTAATTTTGACCTTCCTGGGTTCATTTTCTGGTACCATATGGTACCTTGTTGTTCCAAAGGTTTCCTTCTAAATGAGGCTGTCCCCCTTCAGTGGCTTAGGAGGATCTCTTTAAATACCTCCTATGTGACCCAGATTTTGCTTTTCTTTTGTACTCTGCCACTTTTGAATTTGAGTTTTCCTTGCCATACTAGCTGCTTTGTGCTATAAGATTCTATCGTCTTCCTGGTTAGCAGATAATCCCACTTTTTTTCATTGGGCTTTTGCACAGCTTCTGTCATTCCCACACACTCGTGTTGCGTGAGATTTTGAGTGTTTCAGGTGTTTTTCGGCTTCTCAATGACAGCTCGTTGGTGCCTGCTCTTTTCCCAGAACATGTGGGAGGAGGGGGTGATGCAACTGCATGCACAGTCATCATTGCTGTGTGGGGTCCATGTGATGGATGACTTGCAGGCTTGCTCGTTCTTGGCTAGGGTAGTGCATTTTCCTGCCCTGGTGGAGCATTTTTCTAATTGGTTCCATGAGGATGTTGATTTGTTCAGCTTGGGGTCAGGTAATTACCTAAGTGTAATTACCTAAGTGTAGTTACAGGATGAGAGCTACGCTCGTGGTGTCCCGTCTTCCCAGCACTCTTTGTCATATAACTCTTTGAGCAAAGAGCACCTTTGTGCAGGTGCTCTGTTGTCTGGCATGGCAGCTTCAGTGGTATTGCCTAAGCAGTGTACTCATGCTCCAGGTGGTGGTTGCAGTGTTCTACTCTGCTTCTCTCATGTTGGCTCAGTAGTTAAGATTCAGCTTGGTCCTTGGCCCCTTTTATCTGCCTTCCCTTCTCTCTCTTTCTAGAGGCTGTTATCACACAGCTTGTCTTCTGCTGTGGCTTCATGCCATTATATGACTCATTTACTGTATACAGTTTTCTCTTCCTTACTTTCAGAGGGAATTTGGTAGGGCTGGGACTTCATCTCCTGCTGTCAGGCTAGACCTTCGTTGGAGCCAGATTCTGGGTTGTATGCACCTCCCACTCTTGCGTCCTCTCCTGCTTGTCAGTGCCACTTTCATGCTTTACAGAAGGATACTGTTGTTCATGGTCCGCACTGGCCTTTCGCAGTCTGTCCCTTTGATGGGGCAATGGTGGTGTGGGGGTTCGTCCAGTTTGCCGACTCATGGTCCCACAATTCAAAGGCTTTTCAGATTGTTTCTCAAGGTCCTCAGTGGAGTTCATAGGGGCGCTTTCAGGGCAGGACTCTTCCCCTCGCCTCCATCGGGTCATTGCTGTGGAACTTTTATCCCTGAGTAACCTGTATTATTTTGATAACATAATATTATAACAGCAATCAAAATACAAATTTGCCTAGCTGTTGTGATTGATGATTTCAGGACAGGCGTGTTGAGTGCAAAGTTCATAGTGGGGTTTATAGGTATTACTTTCATGGACTGAGGTTTTCACCAGCCTGCGAAGGATGTCCACATTAAATGTTTGTAATAAATTTATTTATTAATTTAATTTAAGACTAAGAAAATTTAAGATTAAATTATAAGTTTAACAAAGGCACTGAATATTAGTAAATAAAGTTTGCAAACCTATCTATTTAATTTATCTCCAACCTAAATTAACTAGTCATTACTTTAATTATTAATTTATAACAAGATTTTATTTATCAGCACTGAATGTGGTCATTAATGGCTGGTTTTACTAACGATGTTTAGGCTCATAAGCCTGCATTATATCCACACTTATGGAAAAAAAAGGAGTTATTGACACACAATAATCATTAATCTTTAAACAGTGGTTATTGTCATATGATGATTCACAGGATAATGAGGTTATCACATGATTTTAGCAATTGTCAGCTTTACAGGTATGATGTAAATAAGAATATAATAGCTCTGAGGATGTAAGAGTTTTGACCCACATAAAAATAATCTGCTATTGTTTAATGGTTACGTTACAATGTGAGTACAGTTGTCATAAATGTTACTAGAAGAATGTAGTCATTGCCACTGAATAAGGTTCCATCATAATTACATATGTTTACCAATGATGTTCATATGGTTTTCACAATTCCCTATGGTTGTAATGAGGTCAACCCGTCCTCGACTCAAGTCCATCACATCCGAGCGGTCAACCCCATACACACATTCATAAATTTTAACATGCTGTTCATTCAAAACAGGAATTTTCTCAAATATAAATTAACCCTTTAACTGCGCAATGCCCCTGCAGGCCCACGTCTGGGGTGCGCTATGCGCCTCCAGGTATTTGTATTTTTCACGTTCCATTCAAAACTCCCGCGGCTACATGGGGTTCATATCAGCTTCCTCAGGGCTCTTGTAAACAGACGCCATCTTTAAAAAAAAATCGTGGTCCACATTCCCAGGTGAGCCTCAGTAGTGAGCAACCAAGGCCGGCACACACAGCATGAGCTCACAGCACTGCTGTTCAGGTTGTGACCACAGCATCGCCTAATAATGTAAAAAAAACTTACGTTGAATGTAACGAAATGCCATTTTCTGGGCGAGTCCCGGAGGCTCCCCGGAGCTATCCATGGCCGATATGGATACCCTAGCTATTTTGCGTCAGTCGATGTGGGTGGAGTTCTAGGCCTACCGGGGACCACGAGCCCGAACCTGGCCCCCTCAGAGAGGCACTGGGAGCAATGGCCCATAGAAATGCACATGTGATTTGGAGCATTCTATATCTGCCATCGACCGGGACAGGCACCCAGAAAGGTAAGCGCCACAAAACAAACCCCTATTCTGGTTAACAACAAAAATCGACAAATGAGTGGACAGAACTCCCCCAGGAAAACGAACTAACAAGCATGACGTCACACGAGCCGCGCCGCATGTCTGTGCAGCTCCCCCTTCCCCGGGAGGGGGAAGGGGGAGCCCCAGACCCCCGTGCCGGTGATCCCCGCCCCAGTTCTGAGGCTGGATATCAAAACCGCGAAAAAACCCGCCGACCGGAGGGCGGGAGGGTGCCGGGGAGCCTCCGGGACTCACCCAGAAAATGGCGTTTCATTACATTCAACGCTGGTTTTCTGGGGGGAGCCGCTACGACTCCCCGGAGCTACTTCACCAAAGACTACCTAAGAAAACAAGGGGACATACCCAGGAGGCGGTCGATGAACCATTCCTCAACACGAAGTCGAGACAACAACCCAAGGACCCCTCCGGAAAGCAGCAGGCACACCATTCGCCAGAAAAAAGGGAGAACAGCCGCAGACGAAGAAACCTATGACCACGACCATAGGAGCCAAAAACCACTGCGCCTGAGAAGAGCATGAAGCTCTGCCACATGACCCCCAGAGGCCAATGCCAACATAAAAAGAAAGCCAAGGCAAAGCAAACCTGACCCCAAGGAGCCACAACCACCAAGGAGAAGAAAAACAGGAGAGCACCCTGTCCAAAGACCAGAACGACACAGGCAGTGCATAAGGAGGCCGGAGGTGAAACAACGCACGATACAGCCTGCGAAACGGCGCAGAAGGAATATCGATACCGAAAGCTAGCAGCAGAAACCAAGGTGCCAGACCCAGGAACGGCCCCAAGCGCCTCTACATCCTCCGCAAGCCAATCCTATGACAGCCCCAGGAGGGAAAAGAAAAACGCAGAACCAAAACGAAAATGCCACAAGCGTGCAAGTCCACCGTCACAAGTGCAGCTGATAGGGAAAGAACCCGCATAAGGAGCCGCCCCGCACCAACATCCCGCAGAAGGGCAGGAGCGAAAAGACTCGTTAAGAGGAGCAAAATCGCCCCCGGGAAAACGAGTAGCGCCGAGACAGCGCGAAGAGAAGAGAAAAGCACAAAAGA